AAGAGGGAGATACCTACAGGAGAACTATGAATATACAGGGAAATAGGTATGTGCATTATAGAGACATGTAAAAATCATATCAAGTGTTTAGCCTTTAAAATACATTTAAGTGAAAGGATCATATGTAGACAAATAAAATTCAAGCTACGCTGTTTCCTGATGGGCATTCTTTCTGTGAAAGTCACCAAATGAACCTAAGGAGATGTTAAGAAGGAGTTTTGAGAACTGAAACATGAAAACATTGGGAGCATGAAAACAGTTGCTCTGCCTTCCTATCCCAATGCAGATCCAGCAGCAGGTCTGTGGCAACAATAGCGAGGCAGAGCCTATGGAAAGGGAAGAATGGGTGGAAGCCACAAGAAGGAATAGGGCAGCTGGTGGGGAAAAGGGTAAGGCTTAGGGAGAGAGTGTGCTGAGCAAAATAGACTGGCTCTGAGAGCTATTGCCAAAGCTCTGCCTGCATTGAATTGCCCTGCTTACCACAGTGGCAGGATTTTACCAACTAGGTTATTATAAACAGGTTTAATGGAGTCTGATTTAAAAAGTGACAACTGCCAACATATTCCCTGAATATAACATACATTTTGGGGTACTAATATTATTAAAACTACCCTAAAAGTCCATTAGACAACCACATTTTCTGTAGTAAATTGTTTTTTCAAATTTTGACCATTCAAACTGAAATTTTTATGGAAGCATCAATCCATATTTTCCTTTTCAATAACTTGGCCATTTCTAACAATGCTGCTTTTGTCCCCTGCAAACAAATAAAACAATGGCTTTTTCTCTGGACCTCTGCTGCGTGGCAGAACCTGAAATTTTGGCAAAATGATGTTTTTTACATTAAGAATATGTATTCGTCATTCCAGTGAAAGTAATGATTCACCTAGACTGAGCAAATGAACAGTGGGGGAAAGCTCATGCTTAGCTGGCACATGCTAAGCAGAGACTTGCACTGAAACTAAAATCCTTGCATGTTACACCTGTGCCAGGCCAGCTCCAACAAAAGGACCACGACCTATATTCCAGCCTCTTTCACTGACTCCAAGCAGCAGAAGGGCAGGCTCATATTTAAAAGTTTCAGCCCTGCTGAAGATTTTAACAGATACTGATGTAATGCCACAAGAATTTCTTAACTCCCTTAGTTTTCATGTTTCTGTTGCCCGTGGAGTTAGGGAACACAGAGCAAAGACGTCTAAACTGCAAAACCAACTATCTCAGGAGCAGATGCAAGCAGTCAAATCGGTACAGCCCTGTGTCCAGTGGATGTTCTGTTCCTGTAACTACCTGAAAATTAAACATCCAGTCTGAGGTGCTGTATCCAAGACAAACATGGCAAGTCGCCTAGATTCCAGCCATCATCAGCAGAGAGAAAGGCAAAAGGTGACCCCTTTCATGCTATGATACATCTCTAAAAATACGGGAGTTGTCACTCTCTGGAAATGTCTGTTTCTCCTCCTGACTACAGAGATACCTAGAAGAGTGTCTTAGACAAGACTCCTAGCTTCTAGACACCTGCATTTAGGTGAGATAAAGTCCATCCAAAATCTAAGGCCTATTAGCTTGGACATAGCACCTAATTAATTGGCAGTATCCCTTTCCTGAGCTAATGCCAGGCTTAGGTTTGCGCCAGATTAACTGTTTCTTTCCTGAACTCCACTATTCAGAGTGAACACGCCCTTAAAGAAACTGGGAAATTACACCACATGCAAATACATAAAGCTTTTCATTATAGCATAAGGATGCAAAGTCAGCTGTTAAAAAACCATGAAATGATAGGTTACCAGTGCTGGCTTAATTAGGTCCCATCATGTCTTGATAAAGTTTTTGTATAAAGTCTTGTCATGACATATGAACATGTCATGCACAGACTGGATCTGACATAGAGAGAAATCACAATGGAGATAAACTGACATTTGTAAAGCTACACCAAATGATAAAGATGAGCAAAATATCAAATAGACTACCATTAACTGAGTATTGGATAATGCCAGTGAATTGAATACAGGTAGAATCCTGTAGAAAAATGACTATATAGTTGTGTAGTTGAATACTGCCTCATTCCTGGAATGCATCAGGAAGTTTTTTAGGAAATCACAAAATATTGATATATCAAAACTGTTTATGAAGCAGAGTGAGTTCCTAGTTCAATAACATTTTTGAAGGAAAAAAAAAACAAACGAAATGAAAACAAAGCTGTCATATAGATTTTGCTTTTTTAGAATGGAAAGTGATTTTTACAGGAAATATTTTTCATTAGAAAACCATAGAATGCAAACAAGTTGAATTAAAAAAAAAACCCAAACAACAAACAACAACCTGTGAAATGAAAGTGAAATATTTCAACTGATAAAAACTTTTTTTGCAGATTTTCAGGTCACATTATTTACTAAGACTTCACTTTTTCTCAAGATTCAAACAGTAAGGAGCTACCGCAGGATGTGAAAAGCTTCTTGTTCTCACCCAGTCAGGATCTTCATTTCCATGTTTAGATGATTTGAATCACAGTTGCACAGTCAACTTCAAATTTAGCATTGTCTATTTTTTTTAATTCCTGTCTTCACAGCCTTAATAATGTTCTTATATAATTGGGCTTTGTTGTGCCCCACGTCTTAAGTATATCTCCTGTAACATGACCTGGTTTTATCCATTCACAGTGTGCAGATCACAGGCATGATGTGACTCCTGGCTGGAGATATCACAGTTCAGACTAGGGTAAAGGCTGCCTTACATAGTTACCAAATTTATGCCTCACTTTGAGGCAACTACTGAACCAGTAGTCCTAAAGTAAGTGCCTAACTGCCATGTTTAGCTGATGGAAAGGAAGTAGATGCCTTTGAAATTGTAACAGATTTCCACCAAGAAGCCTTCTAAAGCTCTCCCGGCTGCACAAGGATCCTAGGCATTTACTTCAGCAGAACAGGGACATGAAGTATCAAAAATTTAGATGCAATCTGGATGCCTCTGTGAGGCAGGCTCGGTTGCAAAATTATAGCGGTCATTTTGCTTGGTAATCTCATATGTGCTTTATCTATGCATCGTACTTAATGACACCTAATGAATCTTTGTAAGTTCATTATAAGAAAGGTAAATCTTTACTGTTCCCATTTTGTAGCAGAGAGTTTAGGTAGTGACAAATGCAATCAAAAGAACTACTGAACACCACTCTGTTCCAAAGGAAGAGGCCATGGGGACAGCAGATGCTGGCCCAGACTCACCTTCAAAGGCTTGGTTGATGACTCCAGTTGCTGTCTCTTTGTCTTCAAGGTAGCGGATGACGGACAGTGGAGAGTGTCTTATCTCTTGCAGTTTGTCCTGAATATAAGAGAAAGTAGGTCTGTTGTGAGGTTCTTGGGCCCAGCATCTCACCATTAAATCACATCTGGAAAAAAAAAAAAAGGTTAAAATGCAAACATTAGAGATAAAAGAATCATTCAGATCAACAATTAGCATTAAATCATCTGGGAAGCAAGTTTGGCCTAGATTTTCAACTTCCAGAAACTTTATATGTGGTACAAAGTTTATCATCAGCTGCTGAGGGAAGAAGGCAGATTAAAGATCAGTTGTCACAAATACTGACAATGTTTTTAATTTTTCAAGGATGGATGTTTTTGATATTGGGAGTAGTTACAACTTTAAAAAAAAAAAAAAAGAAAAAGAAAACAAACATTTGCCATTAATATCTGCTTTCACTGAAGAAGTCACCAGTATTTTCCAAGAAAGGAGGCAAGGAGGTAATTCTCCCACAGGAAAAAAAAATAATCTAAACCCAGAAATTAACCTGAAGCTATCAGCTTATTTAACCCTCCTTCAACTCATACTACTGCAAATTCAGGGGAAGTTCAAGGCAAACCCTCCAGCACAGAGAGGGTTAATTTAGACTTCTGCCTCCAGACCAAAACAAATAGAAGTAAGTTTTCCCATCAAAGACAAAAATTGTACAAGTTTCCTCCAGGTGCAGGGATCCTAGCCCACCTTGTACAACACTATCTGTACCATTCAGTGGAAAACTGCCACTGCCCCTCCTGTTTGTCTAAAGGACAGGGCTGATTTATATTGCTTACTCTAGGTGAGCCCAGGCTGCGCAAACCCAAATCCTACAAAAGCCAGGGGGAGCCAGGCTGAAAACCAAAACACAGCCACCACCTGGACATGCTAAGTGATGGGATTGGAGAGAGGTCTTAGAGCCTCAAAACAGGAGAGCAGCATTTGAGCAGCCAGTGAAAGGCCGATTCAGGAAGCTGCTACTGGAATGCAGAGTATTCACCTCTAAGCCCTAAGTTCAAATCCTCCCCTGACAAACAGCCTCCCAAACCTGCTGCTATGTGACACCAGGCGTTACTGAGTTATGTGAAATGAATTGGTTCGCTCAGATCCTTGCTTATCCATCTTAAAAAGGAGATTGCTGTCCTTCACCACAATTGGGTATTTTACAAAACCCTTGGTGACAGGTGGGAGAAATCTCGACTTGTGATTTTTTCAATGATATTTTTCATTAAAATATTGGTGTTGGGTGAGAAACGTGAGTAGAAAAATTATTTCAGAACCACTTTTCATTGACTTGTATTGTGTGGTCTTGCAATCAGACAGAGTGATTCTGTTTTTCAAAAGGATCCAATGAAAACTTGAAAATTGATTTTAAGAATCTAAAAAGTGGTAATGACTTCCTAATGCTCTGAATCACTTCATCTGCTTACTTTCAGGTGTACTGGTTATTTAAGGCACTGGAAATATAGGTGGAAATTTTGGACTCAAAATTAAGCAAAAAACCTCTGGTTTTCCTTCGGCCGCCAGCAATGTGTCTGTCACATTGAATTTGAAAGCTGACCTTGGGTGCTGGAAGCCGAAAAATCTGCTTTCTGGTCATGCTGGTTGGTAGGACATCCAAGAAAAAAACACAAGTTCAGGTTAGCTCCTAGCTCCACCAGCTTAGCACTTGGATTCTCATGAGCAGAGCCTTATACAAGACATAGCAATGTAGTAAAAGAGCTGACTGAGTATACTGCTCTTCTAGTGGAAAGGAAGCAACAGACAACCACAGGCTAACAGAGGGAAAAATAAACAGAAAATGATACGTAAGTCGTAGACTTATAGAATGGTTTGGGTTGGAAGGGACCTTAAAGACCACCTAGCTCCAACCCCCCTGCCATGGGCAGGGACACCTTCCACTAGACCAGGTTGCTCCAAGCCCCATCCAACCTGGCCTTGAACACTGCCAGGGAGCGGGCAGCCACAGCTTCTCTGGGCAACCTGTGCCTGTGCCTCACCAGCCTCATTGTAAAAAATTTCTTCCTAGTATCTAATCTAAATCTACCTTCATTTATGAAACAAGAACATGACAAATATGGATTCTGAATATTTTTGTATTCTTAAGACCAATCACTGTCTTTCTAAATAACTGATTTTTTATTGGACAGTCTGCTTTATAAAACCAATCAGTTTTGTTATTGAGTAGGGATAGTCATTGCTGCCAAAACATTCAGAATTGGAATTTTCTCATTTAAATTATGTTCCATATTCTTATCTCCTACATCAAATTACGCACTCGTTGGCTTAAAATATTAACACCAGATAGAACTGATATTGTTCACAAAGTATTTAATTCAGATGGGCTTTAGGTTTCTAATGACAAAAACTTTCATGGTGTATCAGAATACATCTACAAATTTTGCAGAGACAGCTATTTGTGGCATGATATTTAGCTTTCAAGGCATGTTGTGACACCCAAAGTTTTAAGTCACATGGTGTAAACTTTCACTAGCCCAGTAATACATCAGCATGAGACCAGTCCAGAGGGTGAAAGCCAGGTTAATATGCCAAGATGTACATGAATGACTGCTTGAGCACATTCCCATATTTTTTGGGAGCCAAACATGGGCTAGCAGATGGTACATCACTTCAGTATGAGGAAGAGATTCAGAGGATTCCTCTACTTCATGGGGAAAGTCTTTCAGGAAGAAATGAAAATTAACAGATCCAAACACAACATCATCTAAAGGTTTATACTAAATTTAAGAACTAGCCTGTACACCTAGATGTACAACTGCATACCTACACTTCACAACTGTGTTTTATCTGGGTGGAGCAACCGGTAACCTTATGTCCAATAGAGCTGCGTATGTGGGGCAGATAGAAATTTAAGAGCCTGGAAAACCAAAGAACTAATATTGAATATCCAATATTGGAGGCTGAAAGTGAACAACTCCTGAAATGCGCTTTAGTGCACAGAAGCTACAGGACATTATCAATTTTCTGTCACATGAGATGGAAAATATAATTGATGTGGGAATTTTCTTAGAAAAGGAGAAAATTTGTTGGGATGAAGAACAGCCCCTACTTTCATCTGATGCGCAATCCCTTCTTCTCTCCTACCCTCCAGATCCCTCCAGGGTGGCATTTCCAGACCAAATAGCAAAAGCTCTTAGCTACCAAACTAAAGTTTCTTCCTCAAACTCAATTTTGTAACTTTGCATGCGAATGAGCATTTGGCGAAACCACAGCTTCAAGTCAGAAAGTGGCACCATGCTTGTACAAATTCTCCTGACTGTAACCCACAGCCTTTGAAAATCTATGTTAAATTAGCTCAGTTCAGTCCAAACCTTGGCATGCTCTTGCATGCAAGCCTCACACCCAGGTGGCTGTGCCGGATGTGCATCTCTGAATGTAAAAGTAACGCCATTCATACATCTAATTCATATTTCAATAAATGTTGCTCGTTTGTAGATCCCCAAGCCCCTTTTCCAATTCATTACCAAGATTTACACTTCTCTGGGGGAAAGCAGATGATTACTCCCTGGAGTAACATCTTGTGGAGGAGAGGGGGAGAATTTCTAACCCCTGCCAAAAGAAAAGCACAATTCCGCTTCCCTAGTGCTTTTACACCCCAAGGTTTCTGTGTCAGCTCTACTTGCCCTTGCAGTATAAGCCTACCACAGATTCCTAAACACTTCTCAGCTGAAGTAGTTTGGCCTTTGAACTCTCTTCCTATCAGTGACGGTTTGTTTTGTCAAATGACAATGAGCAAGCCAAAGTGCCGAGGAGACAATTACTGACTGCTGATGTCCTGATGCAGGTTCAAAACCACAAGTTTGAATGTCAAGAATCCCAGCATGCCATTAATGACCTAGCAAAGTAGCAAAAAGCTATTTATGCTACTGACAGAAGCTGCATACAGGTGCTGAGTGTTCACCAAATGAGATAAAAGATGATACAAGAGTCTAAGAGCTCATTCAGCCCCTTGGCTTTCAAAAACTAGTTACTGCTATTAGGCCCCTATCCTACAAGTTACGACAGGCAGACCAGAGTTTAAGCCCTACCTGCTGTGCTAAATTTATGGTCTGGGGCTATAAAAATTACTTCAAGCAAAGTTTTCTTAATTCTCCTGAAGATCCAGTCACTGATTTTAAAGGCAACTTATGAACCTTTGTGTGAGCTTGGATATCAAACTAGTACGTGGAAATACATTACCTGCTATGCTCTTTTATTCACAGGACAGCTGTCAGGAATTTTTGAAGGAAATCTTTTCCAGCAGAAAATATTGAAACTGAAATTGCTTTGGGATTTCATTTGTTCTGTGATTTCCGATTTTCACTCTGTTCTTAAAATGAAATCCTAATCTCTTCAGTTCTTCAGTTCCTCCAAGTGCTAAAGCTTACTCTTTTTTTTATTGCTAATATGACGTTTCAGCTATACCTATATAATGATAAACAATCATCCTCTCTGGAACTCATAGCATGGTAATTGATATGAGACCTATCACAGAGATCTGGGCTTGCCAATCACAGAATTATTTTCAAGCCATTTCCTCAGTCCCAGGAGTAAGAATTGTGCACTTTAAGTAGCCTGTCCTTCCATTTGTAGGACCAGCTGTGTGCTGGTCAAGTGCATTGCTGTGACTGCTTATGCAGAGTGGGCCATATAGGAATTGAAGCATGAAATTAGACAATCCAGAGTGATCATTTGGCTCAGGTTCAACTTCCTCCTTTATACACTTCTGGCCAATATGGGTTTGATCCACTATATGTATTAATTTTACTCTTTTAATTGCAAGAAATTTTCAATTAAACCTGAATTTCGTGCTAAAGAGAAAAATGGAAATTGAAAACCTTGTTTATCCAGCTCAGCTAAAGACTAACCAGAAGTGCAGGCTGCCTTTTTGCTGTACTGCTTCAGCTTTTCTTATTGGTTTTTGTAAGAGTTATATCTGCAAAAAGAGCATGTTTTATTTTCTACATATGTTCTAATATTTCCTGCAGCTACCATTGAGAAAGCCAGTTACATCTGCTATCACAGGCACAAGGTGTACAGGGACCAGTAAATTCTTTCTTAAAGCCATCTTATCTTTTAAACAATGCCATCAGGCACTCTCAGTCTGTTACCACATTACTACAAGATTCATGCCCAAGACTGACTTCATATCGTCTCCAAAATCCTGTTTAAAAGACCAATATCCACCATTCAACTTCATCACTTAAGTTCTTGATGAATTAGTAGCAGGTTGGCAGCTACAAGCGCTAGCTGTTTTATCCAAAAAAAAAAATGGAGGATGTTGAACTCTGCATGGGCATAAGTAACATTCAAAATGATGGCCACCTGGCAATAGCCTCTTGCTTCTTATAAATGTTATTAACAACACTTAAACAAAATTAACTTACAGGTCATCAGGACAATTGTTTGGAGATTCAAGCCTTCCTCCTGATCGTACATAGTGTAAAACTTCCGTATTGGAGAAACCTGGATATGGTTGTTGACCCAAAGTTAATATTTCCCACATTAAGACTCCAAAAGCCCTAAGAAACACCAACAAAAAAACGCAATTACTGTAGTCATCATGAACAATCTCCCTTCAACAGTTAAAACATCTGTAACCTAAGAATAAGACTCAGTTAGAAAAATCAGGTGTAAGAAGTTTTAATTTTTTGTGAAACAATTCAAATGTCCTTAAGTCAACCTCTGGAATAGCTAAAATAAATGCACAGAAGTGACACACTTTACCAGACTCGCTGAGGTGTAGCTTAGAAGACATTGAGTGCCCACAGCTTCCCTGGGCAACACTCTCTGATTGAGCACGTCCTCACTTAAACAAGTGTTTAGAAATCTCTAGAGGTGTTGTTGAAATGGAGAGACACAAGTTCTCCTAAGCACCACTCACAAAGCAATCACCACCTCATTTGGTTTGGCACAGAGCACTAAGTGTCTTGCTTAGATAAGTATAAGAGTGGCAGCCAAATGGATGAACTGCAGGGGTTGAGGACTTGGACAACATTGGTGGGCTGTAGTCTACCATGAGTATCTATAGCTACCAAAATCTAAACTTGTGTGAATCTCAGGTTTAACGGACCTGGTTTGATTCGGCTTTTTCCATGCCTCCTGAGAACAGCTCTCTGCTTCTTCACTATGAACTCAAACCTGCCCAAATACACACTTTAAGTAAACCTCCACAGCAAAGTACTATGACCTTCTGCTGATGATGCTGAGAAATTTGGACTTCAAAATAAAGAAGTCACCAGAAGAGGCTGAAATGATAAGGGGAAAGTATTTGGCTGTAGGAAGGAAATGTCAATTAACCTAATGGAAAACAAAATGGAACAGCATGCGGGCAGTCAATTCACTGCCCAATCAAGCAAAAACCACATTGTGGGCCTAGTACAAAATTGTTTGATTGAGTGACATTAGTTCTTTCCAGCCAGAAACAAAAGCTAATGCTCAAAATATTAAGAAATATATCCACGCAGGTACTGTTGTGGTGCCAAACTTTTCATTAGCTCATTAAAATATCGCTTAGGAGGAAATCTGCCTTAGTCTAAAAATTATTAGAGATGACAATATGCAACTTTATCATTCCTCCTGTAAACCAGTACTTTCTTGATGTGGGATTTAGTATGATTATTCCCACAGCTGTGAGGCTGCTATAACTCACCAGACATCAGAGCGATTTGTAAAGACACCATCAATGAGGCTTTCAGGAGCCATCCATCTGACAGGGAGTAGGCCTTCTCCTCTTTTCCTGTAATAATCACTTTTATAGATATCTCTAGCAAGTCCAAAATCGCCAATCTTTACCACCCGGGAGGAGCTCTCATATTCCTTCTCAGACACAAGGCAGTTGCGAGCAGCCAGGTCCCTGATTTGTAAGGCAGGAACAAGAGGATGGCGTTAACATTGCAGAATAACTCAGGTCAGAAAACACCTCTGGAAGTCATCTGGTTCAACCCTTTCTTCAGAGCAGTGCCAACCTCGAGGTCTGATCAAGTGTCATAGGACGTCACCTAGTTAAATTTTGCGTATCTTCAAGGCTGGAGATGGCACAGCCCCTCTGGACAACCTGTTCCAGTGATTGACCCTGCACATTGTAAAAAATATTATCTAATTTCCCTTGCTGTAACTTATGCCTATTGCTACTCATCTTTTCCCTATGCACCTCTGAGAAAACTCTGACTCTGTGTCGTCTAGCTACCCATTAGGCAGATGAAGGCAGTAAATGGATCTCCCCACTTGCTTTTCTCTTTGTTGCACAGGATATGATTCTTGCCTAGGGTGCAAAGAGTCCTGGATTCAGATCTTAGAGTAGCCCACCATTTTGTGAGAGAACTGTAGGTGATTTTCAGCAGAAAAGCATTAAATCTTACTACAGTGTTTTCATCTTCCCTGTTACATTGTGACATCTTTCTGGACAATTTTTCCCATGCAAGATAATTAGTCCTGATATTGTGGGTAAACCTTGGAATGCTAAAGAAATAATTTCTATACCTGTGTATAAAATGCATTTTCTCTAAATAGACACAGCCTTTGCAAATATCCAAACATATATCCAAGAGGTCAATCACTGTCAGTAAGGGACTCTGGAGCTACGAGAAACAAAGAGAAGTTAGCCATGTCCTCTAGCTTTACAAACTCAGAATGAAAACCTCCCTATGTTTCCTCATTTGAAATGTATAGAATTTTTCCAAAACATGCAAAGCACAGGTGCAACATCTCTGTATGTCGATAGAGCTATGCTAATTACTGGCAGGGTAAACAGCCAAATCACTCCACTGCAAAGCAGGTGAACACATTCTGTTCTTTGATTTGGGGCTAAGAATGTTCTGGAAATTTCAGAATTGTTTCTTCACTACAATGGAAGAAATGGGATCCTGAAAATTTCCTCCCATTATCAGATCAGGTTTGCTTGCTTCTGTATTAATCAGTATAATGTATTATCCTAGTAGAAAACATGTATATACATTTCAGTAGAATTCAGTACTGACTGTGGATTTGATCCGATCGTGTAAATGAACAAGACAATTTTATAATGCTACACAATTTCAGCGTCGAGTCCTTTTGACCTACAATCCTACCGTCCATATTCTTAATCTGCATGTTAACCATGGAAAAATATTTA